ACTGACTTGTCCTCCTACTGATGAATCGCTCCCAGCTGACGTCACCTGTACCTTCAAACAGGCACCATGGACCAATCTCTCCTGGACAGTGGGTGACAAGGATCACAAAGCGACATGTTTCCCAGATTTTCGTTGTAAGCCGGTGCATGAAGGTTTCCAAGCCAATGTGGACAACTCCTCAGGCGTCGTCAAGTCAAAGTTTACAATCCTCAAAGCTGATTTCGAAAGGCATGCTAGAGTGACGTGCTCTGCGCAGTTCAAAACTGGATCCCCGCAATCTGCCTTTTGCGATCTGCCCATCTATAGTGAGTGCAGCTCCTTTCTCGTTTGTCATAGGACGTGTTTTGAACACACACACTAACACACACATACATATACAGTCATACACACACACACAAACAGATGCACGCACACACTCACATACATACACACATAATCATATACAGACAAACATAAACACACATACACATACATACTGATGGACATACACATACACAGACACACACACATACACATACACACAGACATACACACACAAACTAACGCACACACACACACACACACACACACACACACACTTATAAACATGCACACTCTCACTCTGACATAGCCAGAGAGAAAAAGTGAAAGATTAGAGGAGAGAGAGAGAGTGAGAGAGAGTGAGAGAGAGAGAGAGAGAGAGAGAGAGAGAGAGAGAGAGAGAGAGAGAGAGAGAGAGAGAGACAGACAGACAGACAGGGACAGAGACAGAGAAAGAGACAGAGAGGCAGAGAGGCAGACAGACAGACAGACAGACAGACAGACAGACAGACAGACAGTGAGTGAGAAAGGGAGTTAGTGAGTAAGTCAGTGTTCGATTGCGCAGCGTTAATGCTATTTATTATTGTCATTATTACACATCTACACATCTACCCACACCCAAAACAGCCCACCTACATTGACTTCAAACTCATACCTTCCCCACCCTGCACCCCAACACACTAAAGCGCTCCCCCTTTCACTGTGTGTGTACAGGTAAGCCAGACGCCCCAATCTGTACCCAAACCTTCACGGACACAGGCGTCCATGTGAGATGTGAGGTGGACAAGGTGTACCCTTGGGCAGACTGCCTGTGGGGGCGCTCGCCTCACAAGGTAAACTTGACTCATTAAATTATAAAAGAATTATAAAAGAAAAAGAATGGCAATACACGATTATTAACAAGAACAACAAGAACAACAACAACAGTGCATGTAATAATAATAATAATAATAATAATAATAATAATAATAATAATAATAATAATAATAATAACAATAATAGTAATACTGATATCATGATGATAATAATACATGATGATGAAAATAATAATATTAATAAATAATTATATAAATAAATAAATAAATAAATAAAAATAATGATAATGATAATAATAATAAAAATAATAATAAAAATCATGATAATGATAATAATAATATGATAATAATAATAATAATGGTTATAATTATACTAGATCTAATAATTGTTTTCATGTAGCACATCTCCATGTTCGCTGTGCTTTAGACAACAATCACCACACCAGCACATCCCAGAAACATTTTTGTCTACCCAGGAAGCATATAGTGCAAGCACCACATCATCATTAAGTGCAGGATCTGGAACAGTCAACGGTGTTAACAACATTCCATTCATCTCTATGCTCAGAAGCTTACAAAGTTTTTTTTTAACAAACCCCCCCCCCCCCCCCCCCAAAAAAAAAAAGAGAAAAAAAGAAACAACAACCCCCTAACAAACAAACCAGGAAATAAAAACCAACCAAAAAAAACTATCACCCGTTTATTCAAATTTTTCAAATAACAATTTTTCAGTCTTGCCCCGCTTCATTTGCCTTCAGTATGTCCAGTGAGAGCGTAACATTCAAAACCTTTATGTAAATTACAATCCATTCACACACCCCCCCCCCCCCACTTCCCACCCCACAGAAAAGGAAAGGGGTTCCCAGGAAAAATCAAACAATCAATCAACCCAAAAAAAAATAAGAAATGGGTATAAATGAGAATAGGGAATAAACCTCAGCCACCTCTAAAAAAAATTATAAGAAATGAAAAAATAAAAAAATAAAAAGGCCTAAGAATTTATTCCAATTCAAAAAATGGGAGGCTCCTCTCACAATTTAAAATTTGACTCGCTCAAGGAACAAAGTGAAGGGGAGCAACTTACGGGGGGGAATGTGAACCCCGTGGCGGCCTACCCGTTCACTGCCAGGGGCCTCCCTTCAGGAAAAAGGGGGGACTAAAATGATGTAAAGGTCCCCCCCCGCCCCCCCTGTGCCAAGACGTGCTCGCGGGAAAAAATTGAAAAAAGAGGAAAAAA